TCATCTGGAAAGAGAAGGGCTGGGATGCAGCCACAGTCCCGTCCTCCCTCAGGCAGCAGGGGACAAGCAGGCGAAGCGCCCCGGCACGAGCCTGCGGGAGGTGAGTGGTCCCCTCCCTGCCCTGGCTCATGGCACGGCTCAAGGGAAGCGCTCTGCAGAACGAGAAGCGGGGTGCATGCGTCTCCTGGTTGGGCACGTGAGCGAAGAGCTCCGTGCCTCTGAGCCGCGCTCATCGGGGTAAGGCATGGAGAGAATGCAGCAGAGAACGGCAAAGAGACACCCTGTGGGGAGCCCAGCAAGGAAGCGATGCTTTTCTGCCCTGGCACCACACCAGCGTTGGCCTGCTTTAGGGAAGCACAAAGAGCAAGCCCAGAAGCTCCCTGTCTGGGGTGATCTCCTGCCCTCCAAGCCCGCTTCTGCCCAGCCAGGGGAACTGAACGTCCTGGGAGTGCCACTCCACAAACTCCAAGCTCTGCAGATCATCATTAAAAAAAATAAAAGATAATGAGATCTAGTGTCTCCCTTTCCTCCCTTCATGTTCTCCAGGATTTCTGGTGTGAGCCAGGCCTGAGTTTCTGACAAGCGAAGTCCCTTGAGTGAACAGTCCCAGCCTGGTTAGGTATCACATGTGGAAAGACAAAGTACAAGGAACCTATTCACAATCTCCCCAAAAGCTGCCCCGGTTCTCCCAGAGCTCTGCCACGCCTGCGGTAACCCCCAGGCAGCCTTGGCCTCCTCCAAGTTTGGAAACGCTGCAGCAGGATGCAAATTTTTTTTTCTTTTTTTTTACATGTGTGCAAAGTGCCCAAGCCCTTTGCTAGCTATTGGTTTGGCTCAAAAGCGGTGCGTGAGAACCGTGGCTTCTCGTGCGGGGTGGGATGGCATCCCATGTGCCCCAGACCCACGCTCGCAGAGAGGACGTGAAGGCTATTCCAGTCAAACCTATCTGACCATCTGGAGATGGAATCAGTGTTAAGGCAGTGAAGTCTCCTCTCCTCTGCTGGGGAAGCTTTGCTCCTGCTAACGTTTTCTCGCAGAAGGTACGTGTTCGCAGCCACCCTGCCGGAGGGACTTGAGAAGGCTGCCCAGTTGCCCACCCCGAGAAACGCCTGCGCTTTGAGAAATGGCTGCCTCCCCATTACCTTAATCCAGATCTACCTCTTACACCAGCGCAAACTCCCCCAGCCCAGCAAAGCTGACGCCGCTCCCTCCTGCCAACACTGGGCTACGGCCTCGCATCTCCCAGCCGGTTGGGTCAGGCACGGTGTAGGGCAACATGGTAGGGACATTCACCGGGCAGCGAGAAAGGGTGATTGAAAATTCAAGTATGCTTTCCTCAGCGCGTGGCCCAAGGCGGGCGTTGGGAACCCCACACTGGCACGAGGGTTGTGCGGATGTCGTCGACATCCCCACTCGAGGGCATTCTTCGCACCCCACTGTCTTCCCGGCTGAATGTCTGTCTGCGCTGGCACCGCGTGGCCACGCAGAGATCCACAGATACAATGTGCATCTGTAAATGCTAAAAATAATAAAAAGTGCAACGACGTCAGCTTCTTTAAAACAATCCACATTGCTCTGTTACCGTCAGAGGAGGGAGGTGTCAAGGGAGCCGGAAAAAAAAACTAACTGGAACAGTAGATTGCAAATTTCTCACAGCTTGCACATTACAGTGTAACTGTTCCCAAGGAGCCGAAAAGGGAACCTGTCTCTTTACTGCTGCAGCAGTCAGGCCCTTCTCCCACGCAACTTTCCTGCCCACACAGCATCCTCCTGCCCTCTCGACAGCCAATCGAGCCTACAGTATTTCTTTGCTTAATTAAGGAGGGAGGAGGACCAAGGAGCAGAGAGTGCAGGGGAGGGAGGGGAGGAAAGTGAGCAGGAACTAAGCACAGTCCTCAGGTTTGCGTGAACGATGCCTTCGCCGTAAACAACGGGAAAGAGGGTCAGCCAGCCAGCCCCCCTCCCAGGGCGACCAAGCCCGGCCCCAGCCACAGTCCTGGTCCCAAAAGGAGCTTCAGGCTTGGAGTGAACGAGGGAGACCATTCAGCAGATCCACCCCAGAGTGGTTTGTTTTGGAAAGTTTTCTTCTCTTTTTGGTTTAAAATGTCACTTTTTTTTTTTCCTCTCTTCCTCCTATGCCTCCTCCTCCCCCCTAAAGAGAAGCCCCTTCCAGTGAGACAGGGTAGGAGCTGCAGGCGCGGTGGTTCCTGCAAGGCCCAGGAGGCACCGGTCACTTGTGACGCTGAGCCGTCTTCTTCCGTTTCCTCTTAAAGAAGCAGCAGCACCTGGGGCACAAAGGACAAGGTAAGTTAGCCCCGCGCCCGGCACCCCAGGAAGGTCCCCCACCACCCCGGGCTTCCCTCCACTCAGCCGCATGCAACAGCCCCTGCGCGCCCGGCCCGAGGCCCCGGCAGACCTGCCGTCCTGCAGGACGGCTGGCAAAGGCTGCTGGACGGTTGACACCACCAGCCTGGACTGGCAGACCAGCAAAGGCAAGCAGTCACATCCCGCGGCCCAAAGGCTGCAGGCAACAGTGGGGCGCAGCCCCTGAGCACGGGAAGCCAGGCTGTCTCCCTCCCAAGGCTCGACTGGGGCGGGAGCGCAAGGAGCCATCTGGGAAAGCAGCAAACAAGGATCCAGATGCTCTGCTCCCTCTGTCCGAACCCTGGAGGAAGCGGACCGGGACAGTGAGCCCTGGCTGCTCTTCCCAGCTGTGAGACACGCGGTTTTCACCACTGTTCAGTACAAGGTCAAGTTCCAAAGGGATCTTGGCTCAGGGACCAGGTTTCTTTACTGAACCTTTCATGATAACCAGAGCTTCCACCTTGGATAACTCATTCAGTGCCGGGATGCAGAACCCCTGCTTCTTCCCCCATCCGATGCGAGGGAGGTGGCACAGCGCCTGGGGACTGGGGGAAGCAAGAAGGATGGGTATTTGGAGGCTGAGGTGGGGAGACGAATGCCCATCGCAGCTGAGGAGTGGTGGTTTCACTTGCGGGGTACTCTGAAAGCGGTCGCCCAGGTTTTCTACCCCTCCTGGCTTCCTACGGAATGACTTGGTCTGTAAGGCGTATCTACCTTGCTACCCTCAGCCCAGCGTCAGGGTTCTGTCTGCACAGAAGAAATGTGTTTGTTCTGTGCAAGTTCTGCTCCTGAGCTACTGTCTTTCCCCTTCTGCCGTTACAGCCATCTCCAGAGAAGCCCGGGTGATGCTGAAAGACTGCTTTCCCAGGCTGGTGGAAGGGATGCCTGGCTAAGCAGCAAGAGCAGAGTTGAGTATGCAAAGACCATTTTTTCCTCCAACCATCTTTGAGCAACAGCCAGACCAACAGCATTCAAAACTGCTGTAACAGCTTCTCTGAGTTATTTCCCACTGGGTCCTTCACAGCTCTGAAATGTCAGCATTACGCTTCTGTCCTCTCAAGAGCTGGAGGAACAGAGTCGTTCTCCCTCATGCCCTAGAAGGTGCTTGCCCCTGGATGCACAAGCCTTACTATGGGGTGCAAAAGCGATGGGTGACCACTACCCCTCTGTGAGCCAAGCCTGCCAGTGCAGATCGTCTGCTGGGGAGACCGAAACCCCCTACAACAGGGAGAGCTCAAACAGCCACAGCAAGAGGAGGCCCACCTCCTACCACATGTTCTTCTGGCCTGCACGGACTAAGGGCAAGGGCAAGTTTAACGTCCACGATTTGTCTTTAGGTTCCTAAAGAGGCCCAGTTTGGAGGTGGGACAAGAGAAAATGCAAAGCAGTTGTCCTCACAGGAACACGGGCTTAGAGCGACTTGTGACGACTCCATCACTACCCACCTAGCCTGACGTCTGCTGCATGCAGTCTGAAGCTTTGCCATCACCCAACCCAGGCTCCTGCGCACGGCTGGCACTCTCACCCCCCACCCCAGGACTGGTCTTGTGCTTTACTGTCCCAGGCCATCTGCCACCCTCTCCTGCTTTAACCTGTCGCAATATTTCTCTCCCACAGCAGCCACCTTCCTTCATGACTTGGGCAACGGTGAGTAAGGGGGAGGATGTTATGGGGAGAGAGGATGGAAGATGCACAAGTTATGATTTTGCATGCAGCGGGTAAGGGAAGAAGAGGGCTGAGCAGCACTCGTTTCCTTGGGCACCGAACAAAGGGAGCTGACTGACTCCTGGCTGTTTTTCCTTGTGACTGTCTTTTTAGGCTGTTACTCAGAGGTCCAGGGAAGGGTTCAGGAAAGGAAGTCCTGGCAGTTCAGACAGGCAGAGGCAAAACACCAAAATAAAAGAATAAGGCAGGCTGACAATTACAGAATGTGATCTCTCTGCATGCAGACAATGCCCAAGAGAACAGCTCCAGACTATGACATACAGAGAAGCCAGAGATGCCAGAGGTATTGGAGGCAATGCCTATGGAGAGCAGGGCAGAGGCAGTCAGTCTCCCATCCAACAAGGACATTCCTCGCCGCACACGGGCTTTGTCACCTTGCTCCGTAGCAGTTCCCACCAGTCAGCCCTCCCTGGGACCTACAAACTCCTCATCCGAGTCTCCGCTTGGTCCTCCGCTTACTGGGTACGTGGTTTCCCCAAGGGGCAAGGAAGGAGGGAACACCTCTGTGGGACACCTTGAAACCAGGACACTACAGCTGTGGCTTCGAAACCCTGATAAAACCGTACACAGGCCTGAGCTGGGCTTGGACCAGGGCTAATCCCAACCCTTCTGCCTCGTCTGTCCTGGAGAAGCCTGTTCACCTGCACCCTCGGCTGGCAGCTGCAGGGTTTTTGGAAAGGAGCTATCTCCCACCCACCCTCTCCAAGCTGGAGCTCTAGCTGGGGCTCTGCAGCCAGACTCCGTGGCCATGTCTTCCCATCCTCTCTAACGATACAGGCCCTGGCCTGTGCTTCTTCAGAGAAAACTCTCTGAGGAAGTGACTGGCCCCCTCCCCTCGATACCCTGCACAAGGTTTTCCCTTCATGACCGTCTGCGTGAGGAATTCCTGCAAGATGCTTGGCAAGCCTGGTCCCGACTCTGCCCAACTCCATCAGACATCATCTGCTCATGGACGTAACAGTTTGGATGAGATGACAAGCCGAATAGAAAAGGATTAAAATCCATCTTTTGCATCCATCAGTTCAGACATCAGCCAAATTTCTTGGCCTAATGTGGGCACTCAGACAGAGCCCACACCCTCCCCAATATTGCATGCGGTCCTCAGCATGGTCCTAAAATCAGAACAGCTCTGGGTTGGCTTTGACTTTGTGCCTTTTTAGGGTTTGGTCGGTTTGATTTTGCCAGCCCCAGTCTAGTCTGGTCCGCTCCCCCTTGCATGTGGACTGGAGAGAGGGACTCACCACAAGTTGAGCATTTTCAGGCAGCTACAGAGAGTGTAGAGAAAAAACACAGAAAGGAAGAAAGAGCAATTAGTTCACAGAGGTGGGATGAAAGCATGTCGCTGCAGCCATGCAAACATGCAGTGCAGACTGGCAGACACACACCATGCCTGCCCGCCGCCCACCCCCAGCCCTCATACCACCTCTGCCCTTGCCATGGTGCCACTGAAAACTGCCACGCTTTCCAAGGTCTCAGGCCTCCGACAAACACCCCCTGTTCTCCACAAAGGCACCGGCCCCATGGGGTTCTTACCAGAAAGGAGCTCGGGGCCACCAGGAAAGGAGACTGCTCTTGTCCCTGCAGCTCCAGCGGCAGAAGGGCCAGATCATGGATTTATGCCTGGGACCTGCCTTTCAGCGAAGGAGCTTATCTCCAGTGTACCCCAAAGCAGCAGCACTTGCACAGCTCCTCTACCTGCCACGAGTGCCAGGGAAAGACCTTTCTGCTGCTGCATGTCGTCTCAAAACACAGAGCCTCAGCTCCAGCTCCTTCTAGCTCTTTCTGACCCACTTTACTGCAGGACAGAATCAAAAAGTCCTTTGCCCTCCCCATATATCTGAGGGGATTTATGAGCGCAGATACAAGGGAAGATGAAGCCAACCCTCCCTGTGGCAAGAGGAATGAAGCGGACTACACCTGGGAATTACAAGAGACCCCAAACCTGCCAGTGCAAAGCAGCTTATGCTCTGCTTCCCAGCACCTCCAAAACCTATTTGAGACCACAAAAACAAGAGCTAGAGAGAGACAGAACCGTTCCATGCATTGTGAGACATGGCTTGGGCAGCACGGCCCTTGCACAATCCTTTTCACCCGTCTTGACATCTCCCCTGTACATGGGTGTAGGGCCTGGACCCTGGCCTCACTCAACAAGGTGCTGCAGAAACATCGGCTGAAGGTGGTCCCAGCTTAAAAGCTGGCTCTCCCTTGCATTGGGTTGTTGTATGGTTAAGGGTGGCAATTTGCCTCATCCGAGGAGTGAGCCACATGCCCAGAGAGCTCCACTCCAGTCTGATCAAGGCAGAACCTGTGATGCCACACTGGTGGTCTCTGCAGGCCACACTACCCATATCTAGGAGGAATATTGCCCACCCTGCAAGCTACAAATCAGTATCTCCCCCACCCCGCCGTACTCGATGAGGAGCCTGTACCAAAACCAAGGCTCGCTTCTTTGGCTGGGAGGAGAAAGTGTATCTGTTGCTCGGGCAGGATCATGGCCAGGCCAGCTTCCAGTGAGCAAGACCACGCCGAAGTGCTTCCCGAGGGACAGAGGAACAGACAGCAGAAGACCTCCAGCACAACTAGCAGTGGCTTCGGCCCGATGCATACCTAGGGGCCTTTGCCATCAACACACCCTTTCTCACGGCTGCCAGTTTTCCTCGTCACCTTCCCACAAGCCGTTCCTAACAGAGGTTCCCATGAAGGCCAAGACAAACCATGTGGCACAAGCGACACCACTGTCATCCAGTCAAATTATAACCATGCTGCTGGGCAGCGTCACGGCACTGAGCAGTTCCAAGGCAGCCCCGGGGCCTATTTACGCCTCACACGGGGAGTGTCAGGATTACACTGTGACCTGCTAGGTCCTGGTCTAGTTCAGAGGCAGTGAGAAGGTCACATGTTGAGGATCATGCAAAAGGTGACGTGATGGTGCCAGATGCAGCACGTGTGCAAAGGAGGCCAAAATGATCAAAGCAGCAACTTTGTACATCAGTTCTCACTCCTGACCACAAGCTACAGAGGAGAGGTCAGCTCGGAGGAGGATGCTCTTCCCCACAAGCAGGAGGGCTGCTTCTGGTTTCTCTCACTCAGCTTCCATTGGGCTGGACCAAAAGAATTGACAGAGAGAAGGACCCATCCCTTCAAGAGTTACTTTATGACCATTCTGGATACCTGGCATCCACTTCTTGCAGCCAGAAACAAAGTGCTAACTTTCAGACCAACAATGTCTTCTCTTCACTGATCTGTGCTCAAGCTACTCCTACACTCTCAGCACGAGAGTACAGCGCGTTCTCCTTTTGCAGCAGGGGACGCTCACCGGGACTCCTGAAATCAATTCACATTATTTTGGTATTTGTGCTACTGTCTATCTTGCAATACATGCTCTGGGTAAGAGTTACGTTCTCCAGCCATGACAAGTGTAAAAAAGAAGCAGCAGCAGCAGCACTGAAGACACCATGCACAAAAGCAGCAATATGCAAGGAAAAGGGCATGGGACACGAGCATCGAGTACTTCACCACGGGTAAACATCCCCACTCGTCCCAGGAGGAGGATTAATGACCACACCAGTGGAAAGCCTGTTTGTAAAGCAAACGTACTTAGCTTCCTCCACCACCTCCACCTCTGCCTGTGCTGTTATCGGCGCGTTGGAGTGTGCCCCCGTCGGGTCGTCCACGTTCAGCTCCCCATTGGTCGAGCTGACCACCTGAAACACAAATGAGCGCCCCGTTAACGAAGCCCCCTTGCACATGATGTGTCTCCACCTGCCTGGACCAGGGATGCTGTGGGAATGGGAAATCTGCGGAATAACTTCTGTTTGCTCTTGTCTCTTTGCACCCTCTTAGCAGGCTGTGGGATTTCTTGGATGCCTTTGGATCATGTTCCCGTTTGGAGAGACCAGCCTGGTTCATCCAAGGAGAACAGGAGACAGGGGACTCCACCTGAGTCCAGTAGTTCTTGCTCCTTCTGTGCCCAGCACAGGTCTTCATGTCTCTGGGGGGCTATGCCACTAGTGTGAAGATTAACTGACAGCCTTCTATACACACACAAACTGTGTTATGTCGACTCTTTTCTCCTGACACCTTTACAAGTGAGCAACTCGGTCCTGCTGCCTGCCAGCATCATGGGAAGAAGTCACTCCAGGGCCACCAGAGTCGCACTCCTTACACAGCCAGTTTCTGGAATTAGGTCCTCACCCAAAAGCTACTGATACAGTCTCTCATCAATTTTTGCTTCACAGCTGACATTATGGCTTACTTCGGCATTTCCACTATAGGGATGACTACAGCATCACAGAATCACAGCATGTTCGGGGTTGGAAGGGACCTCTGTGGGCCATCTAGTCCAACCCCCTGCCGAAGCAGGGTCACCCAGAGCAGGCTGCACAGCACCGCGTCCAGGCAGGTCTTGAATATCTCCAGAGAAGGAGACTCCACAACCTCCCTGGGCAGCCTGTTCCAGTGCTCCGTCACCCTCAGAGTGAGGAAGTTCTTCCTCATGTTCAGATGGAACTTCCTCTGCATCAGTTTGTGCCCATCGCCCCTTGTCCTGTTGCTGAACACCACTGAAAAGAGTCTGGTCACCCAGATCCCCAGCTGCCAGCAGCTCTGCATTCGCCAGGAGAACATGTAATTTTTTAGATAATTGATCATTGCTCCATTGCCACAACAACCAGCAAAGAATCCTGTATGGGACTGAAGTTCAGCTCGCCCTTCCGCACTCCAGCTGGAAGGCAGGACAGGCTCCAGCACGATGCTGTGAACACCTGGAGCTGCTCCCAGGTCCAGAGCTGTAACGATGCGTGGTTCCCCTCCTGCTCCACCTCTTTGCCCTTCTACAAGATAAAAGGAGGTATCTCCCATGGCGGGTGTCAAGGTGCTGCCCAGTACTCCTGGTGGCTCTGGATGACCTAGCCACCGGAGGTGAAGGGCAGGAAGCCACTGAAGCAGATGTCCCCTCACTATTACGTGCATCTATTCATATTCATTTTGAATACTTAGGTTCTACCAGCAACTGCTGTTTCTGAAGATCAAGTCCTGTGGCCAGTCTCTGCCAGGACAGGTCAGGACTCAGCTCTCCTCGAGTGACAATTCCTTAGGTTCTCCTCACATCTCCCTTCCCAGACTCACCACACTGTAGGCCCACCCAGGTTTTCCAGAACCCCACAATTCTTACACAACTTTGCAAAATGCTAGCACTTCATGGTGCTATTCCCAGTGATCTTTCCACACTTTCTCCAGCTGCTTGTTAAATTTCATTTTACAAAAGGCTTTGGTTTTCCTCCTCTTTTTCTACATGCCGCCACTTCATCTCGATATGGCAAATTCAACTGCTGCCTTAAAGGAAACGGCCACCTGAAGCTACTGACCTTCCAAGGGTTCAGCATGAGCTGGGGCATCTGTTGAGAAACAATTTAAGCATCTGCAGCCCAGCAGCCACGCGCAGCAGAAGATTTCCTGTTCTTCGCTGCAGATAAGCCAAATTTTAATGCTGATGGTGGCACATACAGGCTTGTAAACTGCTCAGGTAGGCAACCCTCCCAGTCAAATTCAGCCTACGACTGCATTATTACTGTAGCTGGCTTTGCACAAGGAAACTATTCCCCTTACATTAAAAAAAAATGAATAAAACCACCTACTCTGTACTTACCGAGTGCTGAATTCATAGAATCACAGAATGGTTTGGGTCAGAAGGGACCTTTACAGATCGTCTAGTCCAACACCCCTGCTGTGGGCAGGGACATCTTTCACTAGATCAGCTTGCTCAAAGCCCTGTCCAACCTCGCTTTGAACACTTCTCCAGTTTACTGTCTGCTCACGTCTGAGACCAGAGCTACACATACATTAGTTCCTTCTTCTCTTTCAGTTTCTCTGCTACTTGGTAAAATATCTTTAAACGAAAAAAAGGAACATGGCTAATCAAGCCAGAAAATCATTGAATACAACAAAGTATCAGGAATCAGTAAACATTTCAATCCAATCTGCATTTCACTTCGAGGCATCCTGCACTACCTGTCTCCTCAGCTCAGCTCTGTCCTACTCCAGGCACTAATTCCCATTTCACCAGAGCCACTTTTCAAAGTGTTATGTTTGGCACCAGAGCCCACTCTTGCAGGCAAACCTCTGCCAAAGAGTTTACCTCGCCAGCAGTATGAGACAGTTCTTGTTTGCTTGAATGACTCTTGCATCTTCTCTCTAGCACGTCCAGCCACCTTACTCTGGCAGTAGAGCAAGAAACTCCCTTAGCGAGCCTGAGTGACAACCAGAGGCAGGTATGGTTTCATAAATAGAAGCGGTCTTTTCAGGAATTTAAAAACTTGGCTGTAGTGCCACCTTTAATGCTGTCTGGCACCATCGCACATCCTCTGCTCATCCACCTTCCACAGCGCAATCACCCAGCAATCCACCGTGCAGCCACCATGCCTCACACTTGTGCTGGTCTGCCACTGGATCCAAAACTAAAATGCACCGGGGAGCAAGAGAACAGGGTCACCACACCCTGCAACTGCAGCGACAGCTCAGCCTGTCTCCCCTCCATCCGCAGGGAGAAGTGGCTGTACAGCCTACTCGCGCCAGCCATCCCCTGTGCTCTTCTTCAGTCTGACAGCCCTAGATTTCCATTAGGCAGGCGGAATTTCATTTTTTATCCAGCCTGAACTGGAGCAGCTCAACTCTTTTCCTAACACTTGTTGCGGTTATTTGCAACAAACCCTATTTCAGCTGCTTCTAAGAGCATCCCCAAGATGGGGATGGAAAGGTGCTTTATAGACCAAACCTGCTAACATACACTGCTTTCTGCGTTCAGTTTGACAAATCTGAGTTCAAAATAGCTCCCAGAGGAAAAGCTTCATCGAAACGGTAGCAGCAACAATATTGGCCGTCACAGCTTGGGTCCCACAAAACCATGGCTTGAGCGTTGCGTACAGCACAGGACCAGACTGGCCTGTGAAACTGCACTCCTGACCATGATGTTACTGCGGTCCGAGGAGAATTCAGGGGATTTAACACAAATTCTCACACCAAGGCTGTACACATCAGGAAGAGGAGGTACCTGTACTGATCCTCCGTGCCGATCTGCAGCCAAATGAGATGTCAAGTACGAGGTATTCGTCTGCCGGCTTGGCTGGATCTCCCACTCCCCTCGGCGATCTGATGACGCCTGCTCACAAGTTCAGAAGCACGAGAGAAACAGAAGAGAGGGCAAAAGTGAATGAGGGGAAGAAATAATAGGGTTTTTGTTAGTGAGTTAGTTTCTTTGCAAAAAGCAAGGCATTTAAACTTTTAGCTGGGCTAAAATCTCTTTACCAAGTGCAAATCATACTTTACTTCAGTGGCGTCTGCAGTAATCCACTGCAGGAGTGGATTTCTTCTTGTCTAGCTGCTACATGAAGAGAAAGCTCAGATCTATTCAGGAAGTTACTTCTTTACACGGCTTCATTTCCATGGATTTCAGCATAGAAATAAACACACTGACAGTACGTTTAATTACGTCTGTCAGGTCACACACACCAGAGCGCTTGGCATGGCAGCAAGACTGGATATACAAGCTCAACCTCCCTAAAATACGATTTTTTTAAACTCCAATTTGCAATATAAAACAAAGCCACGTTTTATTTCACCAAACGCTAGTTCCACACACTGATTCACCTGTACAGTGCAGAAGGAAACATCCACCACACCTGCTTGACTGGAGAGAGGGTTGGTGGCTTTTTGGTTTTCTGCAGAAAAGTAGATAAGAAACTTTCGCTAACAGTTTCTTCTTTATCCCTAACAGATGAAAACTTCAGGCAATTAAATTATTAGAAATGTATTTGTTTTCTCAGAAGAACCACTTTGCACTTGCACGTGAAGCTCCTTACAAGTCGCCCAGCTTTGATGACAACACATCCAGCACTCACCTAAGACCCAGCAGGATCTTGCCGCACCTAAAGCCAACCGACCAGCTGGAAGAACACTTCCCTAAGACCGGGAAGCACTGGACAAACAGGTAGATCTGTGCTGGCCAAAGGCCAATGGCAGAGGACACAGTCAAGCCCAAAGTGATCACGGAACAGATTTAAAAGGTGTCTCCCTGGACACCATATAAAAAACTTACGCAAGTGTTTCAAAGCTGAAACAGAAATTTGGCAGAAGAGAGGGCAGAGCAGCAGAGTCCCCCCAGCGCCCACGCTCCTGGCAGGAAGGATGCTGAACACAGACGCCTGGCCAGGAAACAAAAGGTGCGAGCGAACAAACACCAGGTTATCAGCAGTGAAGCTGAAGGAGCTAACCAAAGAGGGGTGCACAGGCCCGGCCTTTCCCCAGCACTACGTTGCGTTACTCCATAAAAAAAAAAAAAAAAAAAAAAGCGGCTCCACACAGGAGAAAAACCCCAGAAACCTTTGAATAAACTTCAACACTAGCTAGTAAATTGTGACTCAACTAGAATAGGAACACATGCAAAGGGGAGCAGAATAAAAAGTTGTCTCCCGGCATTTTAAAAAACATTTGCTATCGTTCCCTTTGCACGTGACCTCTGACTCCCTCCCGGAGTGACCCGCAGTGCTGCTCCTCCTTCCGAGCAGTCACCAAATCCAGTTCACAGACAGTATTTCCCTAGAGGTGGTCTTGTCCAGGCTTGTCCTATTAAATCTTCTTATTACACATTCTTCCCATCAGCCTGGAGACGCTGCTCACACTTTTTGTACTTGGTGACATTCAAAGGAGAAGCACTTCCCTTGGAATATTTTTTCTAATGGCTGCAAGTCACAAGATTATGAACAACTGGAGAATTTAAATGCAGGTTTCAAAAGCTAGTAGAAGACAGATCTTGAGTGCTGCTTCTTCCAAAGCACTACGCCATCAGGTTGCTCGGCTAGCCCCGACGATGAAGTGGTACCATGCTATGTCAACGTTAGGATAAGCGAGCTTCTGCCTGGGAGCCTGGAAGCAGTTTCTAGGAGAGGCTCTAGAAGCCACAGGAGCCACACTTTTCTCTTTTAGCTCTACAGCGAAGTACGTGATAATCTGGTTTTAAAGTAGGCTTGAGCTGAGCTGCCCAAAACGCAGCCCGAGTAGTGCCACTGGGGAAGTGACGCCCATGAAATCTGAGAGCATCAAGTTCCCGTCAACACTCATCACCTTCCTACCAGCTACCAAACTGCAAGACAAGACTGGCACCTGAAGACAGAGGGGGCAGGGCTCACCCGTCTTTGACAGATAGCAAGTATCATCATTTCAAGAGGAAAAGGCTACATAAAGGAGATCATTCTCTCATGGCAGCGTCTTTCCTGGGAACCAAATACTATAAAAGAGAATCTGTGGTTATTATATTGAAGAACAAAATTAAGGCAATTAAATCTGGAGATCAAGGCAGTTGCTTGACCCAAACCCATGCCTCCAATTCACTGCTCTAGGTGTTTATTTTTTCTACTTTTTCCTTTAGACAAATCATTTGCTCAACATTTAAAAGGAACATCCCTTGGAATACAGTTGTTTATGTTTTGGTGAGAAGAAACTGATTTTTCCTGCACTTTGGGAATATTAAATAATTCAGCATCCTAAGTAATGGTTAGGTTAAAAAAAAATGACAAAAGCTGCCATGCAATCCAGCATCAAGATCATCTGACAGGCTCAGAAGAACAAGGACTGAAGGCTGCCTGCATAATATTTTGGGAATAGGACAGATTTCTTTGGGCTACATACTATAATTTGTGAACTAACATGCTTGAAAATGAAGCCAGGCGTCATTGTCCCTTAAAGGAAACAAGATGCCTCCTACGTACATAGCGTGAAGGTCTGTCATCAAAGCGGACAACTAGAGACTGCCACCCAAAAAAGGGGGGTTAATGCATTAATCAGGGAATATATTAAAGCAGATTATTTTACTAGTACTCACAAACCAGTCCACACTAATGAGCATGCATAAATGCAGCACTGCAAACGTGCTTCAAACAATCCTGCTTCCTACAAGCAACACTTCTAATGAGGGGTATTCATCCTGATTATAGCTGATGGCTTGAGATGTGTTCTACGTTAGCAGCTCTACCATTCAGACCCCAGCTGCATGGAACAAGGAAAGCTGAGCCCAGACGGGTTATTACATCTCACACTCGATTCTGCACCCACGAACCCCAGCTCATGCGAGCTGAGCGGGAGCAGAGCTGGCAGACAAGGAGCACACAGCGGTTAGAGGAGCAGAGCGAGCCTAGAACCACTCACTGGGAAGTAAGAGCATCAACAGCTCTAGCTAGCAGCCGGCAGCTGGAGATCTACTGAACTTCTGATCAATTCTGTTAATACAGAAAACCCAAACTCTCAACACCAACAAAATATTACAACTAGAAAGGAAAAAACGGGGAAATTCAAAAACTGGCAGTTCATCTGGACCATGATGCCCAGCCTCCCCAAGAGACCCTACCCTGGCAGTCTTTTATGCTCTGCAACACTCATTGCTGTGAACTGGACACCCCGAGAAGGCTATATTGCACGTACATGGGACATGCACATCCTTATCGCAGCCACACAGTCCATGGGAAGAGGGCACCTGGGAGCAGGCTGCCATCACCACACCTGTTGGTCTACTCCACGGTCCATGTGTTATGAGTAAAAGCACCCAAAAGAACGTTGTTGGCTGGGTACGTCAGGTAGTCTGACCAGACTGGATAGTTGGCATAAACAGCTTACCCAGAAACTACAGAAAAATGACCCATTCCAAATTGTACTGCACTTGATTCATGATCCTGAGAAATTCCAGTGGCTGATACAGTATTTCAACAACCTGTTGCTTCGACAAAATTCTGTTCAAATCACAATCTCTAAATTAGGCGGCAATTGTGCTTGCCATGACCAAGGCAAGAATCAGCCCCTGACACCTCTAGTGGCATACAGCTTCTGCTTCTCCAGACCAAGAGGAATTCAGAGAGGTGTCAAACAATGGAGCACCGCCGAAGCAGTTGTGAGCAACGCACCTGATTGCGAAGCGCCTGCTGCGATGGCCGATCCCTATGGACGTGGCTGTCTCTTGTTATTGCGGACGTCCCAGAATCTACGTGGACAGATCCCACTGGAGTAGGCTGGAAAGCAAGGCGTTCATTAGGATGAACCCAGTGTTGAAGATGCTGCTCTCTCTCAACACACGCACGCACAAACCTAACTTGTCAGGCTGGCTCCACTCGGCTAGAAGCAGGAAAACATCAAAACACTGCCCAAAGGTACTGACAGTAACCAAGGAAAATTACAGCCAGGGCTATAAAATCCCCATGATTTGATGGACATGTGATTTGATGCTAGATAGCAGCACTAAACCTCTTGTATAAAAATTAGTTAAAAAGATATAGTTAGGTATCTGTATTGGTGTCAGGTCACACCTAGCGTGTCTCATAGGATTATTACAACCAAAAATATACAGACTTGTTTTCCTCATCCCCTTGTCTTGCCACTTTTAAAAATCACGTTTGCATAGAAACAGGACGTGTTAAAATTAAAGCTTCATCTGCTCTATTCTCGCCAAAGTCATAATTCCTGCTCACAACATCAAAATCTCCATAGCAACCACTGCAGTTATCATCAATAGCATGCTTGTCTTACAAGGTGCTTTTTATCAATTGCCTTTGTAATTAAACAAAAATAAGGAGAAAAATCGTGATTCACAAAGGGAATGATTTCTTATGAACTGTTTTGGGCGCAGCAAACATTGGTAATGCTAAATATAGTTGGGACGGTAAATCACCAGCAACGGCACCAAGTTTCGCACCGAAGGCATTTGATCTGGCACCAGTGACAATTAATTTACAGGTGCCTTTGTCACTGCTGGTGTGTGGTGACTGGCCATTAGCAAGAAGGCTATCAGCACAGTGACACAAAACACAAGCGATAGGCAGCCAGTGGAAGAGCTTTAGACTTTCCTATCAGATTTCCCCATGACACATCTTTTGGTCAAGGTCTTCTTGAGTATAAATGGCTTTTGACAACAGAAGCGATGCAACGAGATCATGATTATGGTCCATCTGGTGTCATGGAACTGCTAAATGGAGCTTGGTTACTCCCACATTTCCTTGCCACGTGCTATAAAGAGCTGGTTCAGCCTCCAGAGTAGAGTAACCCCCAAGATCTTTTGAGCTCAGAACCTGTTTCTGTTACTATTCACTGAGCATCTATCAGAGCTCTGCCTAGACCTCCTGTATGTCTTATCATAGAATCATAGAAAGTTTTGGGTCGGAAGGGACCCCTAGAGGTCATCTAGTCCAACCCCCCTGCAGCGAGCAGGGACACCGCTAGCTAGATCAGGTTGCTCAGAGCCCTGTCCAACCTGGTCTTGAATATTTCCAGAGATGGGGCCTCCACTACCTCTCTGGGCAACCCGTTCCAGTGTTTCACCACCCTCATTGTAAAGAATTTCTTCCTTATATCCAGCCTAAACCTACCCTGTTTTAGTTTAAAACCATTACCCCTTGTCCTGTCACTGCTGTCTCTACTAAAAAGATTGTCCCCGTCTTTCCTATAGGCTCCCTTTAAGTACTGAAAGGCTGAAATGAGGTCTCCCCGCAGCCTTCTCTTCTCCAGGCTGAACAAGCCCAACTCTCTCAGCCTGTCCTCATAGGAGAGGTGCTCCAGCCCT